CTACTCAAACAGCTTAACATAATGCCTTGCACAGACTTAAGTCAGGGATGGTGAAACTTTTAAAGACCAAGAGCCCAAATTGCAACCCAAACCCCACTTATTTATCACAAAGTGCTAGTGCTGCAATTAAACTTGAATACCAAGGTCTTAGTTTAGAAAAACAACTGCTATCTGATGCAAGGCTGCTGGGACAACTTGGTTTGTGTGCTGACAGGGCTCTGTGTGTCCACTGCGGCATGCATGCCATAGGTTTGCCATTACTGGACTAACTACTCCAACTGAATTAAATGAATAGCTTAGGTTCAAAAAAAGAAGCCCACTAAAATCAACTTCAGGAGTCCTGAGCCCTGGCTTTGCTAATAACTAGCTATCTGACCTCAGACTTCAGATTTTTTGTACATTCAACTGCAATGTTAGGAGAATGGGCTAAACCAGTTCCTTTTTTTTTTAAACTAGATTGTTATTCATTAGTTGGGTGTAAAATTAATTTTGGGATTGGAAAACCTATACTTTTTGTAAATGAAATGAATATAATAAATTAAAATGTTATAGATAGCGATGTTCTATGTTCTATAAATGTTTAACAATTTGCTATGCTATTGGGGAAGGGGCAGAATTATATCAGTTGCTGACTTCCCTGGGGTAAGTACTCCCCCACCGTGGCCAATCATGAGGCTAGGTGGGAAGAGATATGCTCAACAGTTCTTACAAGCAGTTTGAGCCAACTCAGCAAGGTCCTGAAAAGATAGAGCATTTGACCAAAGTTTCTTTCAATTTTGTATTTGTGCATGCACGCACATTGAAACAAGACAATAAAATGCATTTTTCTTTGTGGATCACACTCAAAACAGTTTAATAAGTGTTCACCTAAACAATTTCCTAGTCTCCTCCATGTGTACTATACAATTCAATAATCTTTTTCTTGGTTATATATTTAGTGTCTTCACAATTTCTATTTCCCTTCAAAACTGAGAGTAACAAATGCCTATTGATATCATCTGAAAGCAGATAAATTATAAAGAGCAGGAATTTGCTTTAGGAATTATCAGCCAAGGTCAAGGTTCTCAGCCTTTGTTTAGCTTCACACACCACAAAGACAAAACACACTCCTACTAGTAGTAAGGGCTCACTCAGTAATGGGTTGGGAGAACAAGAAAAAGAAATGTATAGTATGAAAGAAAAAATACAATGATTCTTATACTCATGCCCCACCCAACTAAGAAGTCTGGAACAGAGAAAACCAGTGTAATAAAAAAGTAAATTTTTCATTCTGATATTTCCCAGTCAAATTCCCCACCACGAGCTTGCATTCCTCCATGGGACCTTTATTACTAAGAATCTCCTACTAGAATTAAGTTTTTGCCATGGATGACATGTAGTGCTTGTTGAATTTAGAATAGGCAAGAAGAAAAATAGCACAGCAACCAATTGTCAGGGCTGATATTTTGGGGAAACCAGGCTTTTGTTGGGAAAAAAAATTATATTTTCTTACTTTTTGTTTATGCTTACTAAACTGGGTGAGAAAGGGAGAAGTTTCTTGAATATATTTTTGGCTCTACTGTCTATCACAACAACACAGCCTGTAACCAAAATTTTCATGAGTATTTATAAAGAATTGTGCTTTCTATTTTTACAATTATTTAGAAAACAAGACAGCTCAAAATTTAAAGTACACTAATAATCCTAGTCCACATCTAACTCTAAGACAACTGAGTATACATGTATGCCTAAAAGTTTCCCAAGAAAAGCCCCAAAATTTCACCACAAATTATAAGATAACAAAAGAGTCAGTATGAGCTAAACTCAAAAAAGTGTGTCATATTTGTTGAATAAGAGTAATATGAAAATAATGAAGTATAAAAAAAGAGAAGGTTGAGATACAAATTCTGCCTGATTCTATTAACTCTTTCTTATTCCAATACTAACTAAAAAAGTAAGAATTATTTTCAATTCTGTTTTTGTTTTGTTTTTGGTACGAGGGATCAAACTCAGGTCCTTCCGCTTGCAAGGCAGGTGCCAGAACCACTGACCTAAATCCCCATCCTGAATTATTTTCAATTCTGACAAGCCAGGAGTCAAGTGAAGCAATGTCTTTCTCCATAATTTCAACATTAAGACCCTCCTTAAAAACCGAGTATGTTTTATAATTCAGGCTCAGTCTGTCCTTTCTCTGCTTCCACTGTCCGTCATGGCAAATGTTCATAAGACTATTCACAATAGAAATCCCTGAGCTGGAACAGCCGCTGGAACAGCCTTGGGCCACTGGTTATTCTCAGGCCCCAGGACTGACCCACTAGGTAAAAGTTACAAGAATGTAGCATTTCATTAAATTTGTGAAACATAAGGAAAAAAGCTGTGTGTCTCATAATCCCATAAACTATCCCCAATCACTTCACTTCAATCCCCAGTCACCCTTCATGAAGTGATGATCAGCCCCCCATCATCCGACAACAATGGTAAACTGGAACACTCCCAATATTGCATAAGAAATGCTTGCTACTTAGTTCAGTGTCTACCAGCCTGGCTATCTCCCCTACATAATATTTTTATTTGGTAAAACAGAATTCCTTCCTTTGACTACTCCAACAAATGATACAAAGACTTTCAACTTTTTTGGTTTTTGTATTGTGGTACTGGGGATCAAATTCAGGGTCTCATACATGCAAAGCAAGTGCTTTACCACTGAGCTACACCCCTAGCCCTGGAACTTTCAGCTTTGATGCCATGCCATCCAAGAGTTCAAATAAATATGTAGTGATTACACAATTTCAAATTTGGGTTAAGGCAAAGAAAAAAAGTACAAGTTTTTACTAGTTATATATTCAAAACTGGTGAATTGATAAACATGAAAACTTCTGTTTCACATAAAATAGTCATTCAAAAAAAAAAACCCATAACCTCTAGGGTGAAAAGAAAATGAGTGATCTGGATCATGAAACAATTTTCAAAGAAACAAAAATTCTCGGGCTGGGGATTTAGCTCAGTGGTTCCAACGCCTGCCTCATAAGGGCAAGGACCCGAGTTCCATCCCCAGGACCAAAAAAAAAAAAAAAAAAAAAAAAAATCTCCGAACATCACAACTGTGCCATACAAAATTCCTATAAAATAATGCAGACCAAAAAAGAAAGAAACTTCAGACATTTACAATCACACCTTTCTAGGTTGGTTTTTATGTTACTATTTGCCCCAAAAGTATTGTTTCCATCTTTCTAGAAAACAATCTAAGTTACATAATACGCTCATCTATTTCTTCTCAGATAACTTAATATCAGAGCATAGACACCAATCAAACTCAATCTTAGCTAACTTCCGAAGCAGGTGAACATTTAATGCAATTTGTTGATGATGTACATGCTAAATCCATGGTCTTTTTCCTTTGCAATCTCGTCAGTTTCATATGGGAGCTCTATGGATATATGAATCAGAGGCCAGTTTTCCAGTGCTAGCAGCTTGTAGACCAATATTCTCCATAAGCAAAATCCACTTCCAATTTGATCACAAACCATGTCCATATCGTCTGATATCATAACTACACAAGCGCAGCAGTCTATGAAAGTGCAGCAGGCACCAATGTAAACACAACTATGAGAAAAGTCAGATCTTCTTGATATTGTTTTCTAAACTGTAACACATAGCTACCTATCTCCCACTACACGCAAGAAAATTTAAATGTAGTAAAAAATCCATACACCCTCCAGTGCCAAAAATGCAGGCCTTGAAATCTGTTTCCAAACAGCACTGAATTCTGTCAACCAAGCAAAAGTTTTCCTTACCATTAGTGTAACGAGGTTAGCATTTCAGTTCATTTCCGTGAAACCATCAATTCCGCAACTGCCCATCTAAATTAAAATTTAGTACATTTTCTAAGCTAACTCTGGGAGGTCTAAGGCGAATACACAAGCACCTGGACACTTTGCCCTGGGATCGGAAAAGACGCGTGTCAGTTCAGCCCCCTTGCTGCCCGGCCACCTCCCGCTGGACAGTGGCCCCTTTCCACATGCTGACGCACTGCCCAGCCCTGCACCGCTGGCGACCAGTGCAAAGTACCAGCCCAGTCTCAGAAACTTTGACTCAGTTATCAGGGCACTGGGAACCAACAATCTAGGCGGGGGACGGGGTGTTCGTCATGGCTCAGGCGGTCAACTTTGAAGCTCTGTCATTCCTTGCAGGTAGAAATCTGCCCAGGACGAAGCCAGGCTACAAAAACCACAAACATCTGCAGAAGCAGGAGCCGAGCAGTCTCGTCGGAAGAAGGGGAAGAGCAAGGGAAAGACACAGCCGCGAACAGAAGCCTGCGCTGTGGGTAAGAAAACACCCTAACCGCACGCCCCCCGGACGCGGGGCTGATGGGACTGCGAGCCCGGCGGCAGCCTCGGCGCAGC